CCCCTGTTTTATCTTGGTTGATGTTTGTGTGGATCAACATTGAACAGGAAGCTATGCTCGCTCAGGGTGTCTCTGGCAGACAAGAGGTGAATCCATCCATCTAAGTGTTATGTTTGTAGAGCAGCATAGACTGCATGACAAAATGAGATGCTAATTTCAATACAAAGTGTGTCTATTTATAGTACTGTAGGTATGTATAAAATTTAGATCACATCTACTTCTGTTTTGTACATGAACTGGCTTCTCTCAGCAGTTTTCTTTAATGGATGCTACTACTAACCGTCTATTAGATTTTATATAAATATTTTTATATAAATATATATTGTGGAGCCTCTACTTGTCGGGTGTTAAAATGTATCTATTGTTCACTCCTTTATTGACATTGTTTTTACCAAACCACCGAGTAAATCCCTACTCATGATAACATACTGTAATCTGTGGAGTAGGTTTACATAAAGCAGCCCTACATAATGTACATAAAGTCTCAGTACTCATTATCGTGTGTTTGGGTCTGTCTGGGGATGTGTGTGGGCATGCTTTTGTGTGTGTTTTTTCTTCCAGCTGTCCACTATTGATTTCTCCGCAAACATCGACATCACCAAGATCCGACAGCTGAAGCTGGATGACATCAGAAGGTCTTACTTTTTTGTATCCGCATGAGAGTATTTGCAACTGTGGCATTGGCTGAAACACACAGAGAAAAAAACTAGAACATAAAACCTGGCACCAGTTTATTTGGAAGTAGTGCTTATGTCTCAGTGGAGTCAACAGGGATTGTTCAGGCCAAATTATATCTAGTTAAATTATGATTTTAACATGTCTTCAAGTCTTTCCTTGACTATACATTTTCTTCAGGTGTTTTTTATAATAACGGCTTTCTTTGGCACGGGGAACATAGCTTCCATTAACAGGTGTGTATATCTTTGTATTTATGTATATACTTCCTATGGTTCTATGTGTGTGTTTGTGTGTAAATGGCAGTAAGCTGTGTTTGTGGGGGTTGGGGTTTGTGGCTGCACATGGTTCAGCCTGAGTGTCTGTCTGATATGAGTGTCAATGATGTGTGCTTTTTTTAGATATATCAGCACTGTGTCATTTGAATACAGGCAGAAAATCAGAGTAAAAACGCTAGTAAAGACAGACTAGTGAGAGATACTGTGCATTATTTGCTTTGTTTAGTCTCTTGTCTAGTGTATGCCTTTGGACTTCATGTGAGGTTGTTTACATTGCACCTCATGAGCTCTGCTCCGAATGATTAAAGAGTTTGTTCTGGCCGTCTGTAGTCACTTCCTCCCCTTGTTTCCCTTTTTCTCTAGTTTTGACCCAGCGTCTGTTTATTGCTTCCTCACTGTCTTCAACCCCTTCATCATGGGTGGGCTGATGATGTGGAAGGTACCATATTTTAAACACTCATACAACTTATGGTATTCACTGTGTATCTGTGTATTTCCCTTGCCGAGCTTTCTTCTGGCTCATAATTAAGTTCCAAAAAGAGGGAAGAAGTCTAGCAGATTGTGAAGTCTTGTCGTAGGTTAACTCTCTGCAGCAGTGACCTTTCAACCTGTTGGCCTTTTTAATGACCTGTTTAGTATAAGTTCTCTGCATGTACGCTACACAATCGTGATTTGTAATGGACAGAAAAAATGTTAGCAGCATCATTCACAATGAATTATATTTCTCCTTTGTTCTCGCAGGTTATCATTCCATTCATAATTGTAATGTGTACATTTGAGACCATCCAAGTTGCAACGCAGCTCTCATCAAGAAGGTAACACCTCGTTGCACTGTTTATAATAAAATGCTAGAGCAAAGGCACTATAGGATCAGTTCATTTACCAGCCTTTATCATTCACCTCATCCTCTCCCTTTACGGTGGGGCTGATGTACGGTACGTCCTGTACACGTAAGCCACATGGCGTCTGCTCTTGGTGCCACCTCTGTGATTGCTTCACAGACACCTGCCAACAGAAGGATGCATTTCATCTTCACACTATACAGTTTTAAATTTGATACAGCCTTTTGCTTTTTAGACTTTAGACTGTGGTGCATTGCGTTCCAAGAAGCTGAACATGAAGTAAATATGTGTTGTTGTGGATGTTTTAATATGCTTATAACACCTTTCTCCCTCACTTCTTTTGTCTGCTATTTTTCTTTTCCAGTTTGTTCCTCATTGTCCTGGTCATCTCCGACTTGATGGCTCTGGTAAGGCATTTGGTTCTGGTTGAATGTTGGGTTCTCTGTTACATAGACTGGATGCGAACCTCATACAATATTTTAACTCACTCTTCCTCTCTTCAGCACTTTTTCTTCCTGGTGCAGGACTATGGCAGCTGGCTGGATATAGGCACAAGGTAAGTTAACTGGAAAATACATGGTTTCTAAGTATTTCATTAGTTAATAATTAATTTAACTAATTAATAAGTGATATAGTCATACACACACTGCCTCTCTTTGCTTTTTGAAGATGCACACACTTACACGTTAACATGTTGAACTTTTTCTTTGTCTCTTACAGCATTAGCCACTATGTGATAGTAATGTCAATGACCATCTTCCTAATGTTGCTCAGTGTGGTCACACACCTTTTTACCACACAAAGACTCATCCTGTGGAGGAGACCCAAGATGCACTTCCCCTAAAGAGACGTGTTTGTGTGTCCATGTGCACACACAGGTTTAACAAAATATTTAGTATTTATTTGAATTTTTTTTTTAGATACTTTTCATATAGTGTTTGCCCCTTAATAAACAAAGAGTTTGTTTATATAAGATATGGGATGTTTTTTAGGACTCAACTAACTATGTAGTGCTGTGCAAAACTCTCTCTCACACCAATTGGATACATATTTTTGTGTTGGAAATCCCCTCTTATATGGCCTTATTAGCCAGAACTGCTTGGAGAATGTACCACATGACTACCGGTAAAAATGACACCTAACTATAGAGAATTGCATCAGGTCTACATACTCAGTAGACGAGTTCTTCTTAGAACTTGCTGTCTTCCTTGTAATAATGTATGTTAAGTGTCACAGTGTGATTTTAAGTGATAAACACTGACAACTGCTAAATTGTTTAATTTTTTTATTTTTAGAGTGGTAAAGACGTTTGCACAGTACTGTTTGCACTGTATTTTTTAGTACACCCTGTCTCTGTTTCAGTGGCATTGTTTTTGCATGAATCATTGATGAATTGACAAAGGCTACTTGAATATTTGACCATGAATTATGTCTGTGCCAAGGGTTCTGATTTATGAGCCACCAAAGAATGATAACTTGATGATGAAGTATATTTTCTGTAAAGCTGCCTAAAATGTATACTTGTATACGTATAAGGAAAAGGGATGTAATTTGAATTTATTGTCACTATGTACTAATAAAACAAAAGGAGTGGGATGGAAACAGGGACTTGTGTGTTGTGCCACTGCAACCATTAACAAAATAAAACCAGATGCCAGTGTAGTTGTGCTTTGTGTTTGAACAGCAAGTTAACCATAGCCATGACCTGAAAGTAGAAAAAAAACTCTCTGCCCCCGTTAGAGTTTGAGTACCCAATGGCCAGCATTTGGCTTGTGGTTGCATTTGGCATCTAAAACAAAAATGTAGTGATGTGCTGCTATGGTTATTATATTTTCTCTGATGAAAGAGAACAAAATAAAAAAAAATAACTTTTGATGTGTGGCATTTTTTGTCTCTGCAAATCAACCCATACCCCATCACAACATTGCTTTGCGTAATAAAAGTAGGCTAAACTTATATGCATTCTTAAACTCAATACACCTGTGTCACCTTGCTTTGTGGTCAGGGTGATTACAGGGGAGTTTCCACTTCCATGTGTTGGGAAATGCAGTGAGCTGTTGTGTGTGTGTGAATATATAATCTGTCCATAAATTTTCAGCTCCATTGCAGACTTCAGATGTCTGCAATGTCACACACACCTCCCCTCCCCACTTGCTAGCCGGAGTTGCAGTGTTAGACCTTGCTGAGATGCTCATGTCAACATCACAGCTAGCATTACCACATCCTCTCTCACTTCTCTTTTGAATTAGCCAATACTTTGTCAAGATGGTCTAAAGTATAGAACAGACTATGGGCTGCCTACTTCTGTGGATCAGTATCACTGATCAGTGTCTTGATGCAGTGTTGTAAGAGTAGAATTTAAGTAAGGTTGGCATCTGAAGTGTGTCTAGCAACTCAACGTGAATTAGCAAACATCAATCAATCTTCAGAAAATTATTGATTTCTGTTGAACATAAATATAGTTTTTTTTGGAAACTTGTTTGTCTCATTACTGTACTGTTGTGCAAAGGGAGTTGGGCAAAGTAAGATTTTCATTGTATGGTATAACCACTGTGTTTCTTCTGTGCATATGACAAACGCCAATTATTGTTTGTTAAACTGATTAAGATGTATGCTTGCATGGAATACACACCAACTGAGGTTAGCTGAATGAGATCAAAACAACTCACATGACAAGAGATGGAAAAAATAGTTAAATTAACCTGGTTGTTAAGATAAAAAGCAAAACTTTCAAGCTAGAATGCAGAAGAAACTGCAGTGCATCTGCATTCAATGTGAGCAGATGCTGTGATGATAATGTTAAACTTAAATATGACGCTTCTTCTGCTTAAACAGTAGCACTTACACACAATTATATATTATATAATATATACTATGGACTGATACTTATATACTATAAGAATCTGTTTCTAAAACACACATTTGTTTCAAGATATCAAGCTCTTTAGTCCTCTGTTAATATAATAAACAACAGCCTAAAGGTGTACTACAGGCTTTATACTGTATATGTGCACTCAGGCAAACTTCTTTTTAACTCCAGTTTCCTCTATTCCACTAATCAATTAAAATAAAAGACGTATAGAGGTTTGACGGAGAAGGAGGAAGCAACCAGCCCTGTGGTTGTGCTACCATGTGTGTGTAATAACCTCCTGTTTCTGACAGAGCACAAACACACACACACACACACACACACACAGAACTCACACAGTATGCAAAACTGGACGTGGTTTTCTGACAAGACAACATAACACACACACCCTGAAACAGTTCATTTACATAACCATAACTCCGACAAAAGGTTGACAGGCATTACACTTGAACACATATACAGCATATACGCACATGCAACCGGGCACACACACACACACATTCTTTTCTCGGACACAGAGCTTTTCCTACGCGTGCCTAACAGTTGCTTGCTGGATATAATGTGATGAGGACATACCCATCCTTTAATGTCTTATTTTCACCCACAAGAGCACTCGGCAGCCAGTTCCTCTTAGAACCAAAAGGTACGTAAATCTACTTGTAAACTCTGGTTTTGACTTTATGCTAATTTATTATGTAGTTTCCATTGCAGCTGTTGTCCTCTTGGTAACAATTAAACTTAAACTGTGAGCAATAGCTTTACTTTCTAAATTTAATATTTAAATGTTGTAATGTTTCATTGTAGTTTGTTTTAGTTCTGTTTCCTGTTAAACCGATATGTAAAATTGTAACTACTTGAAGATATGCAAGACGTGTGCATGTCAGAATAAATTTATATACTGTAGTTAGTGTCTAGATCTGTAGACAAATATGAGAGACATAATGTCAGTAAATCAGTAAAAGTATGTAAATATAATGTGGGGTTGGGTCTCTGTCTTTTCCTTATTTCTGTTGCTGTTTTTAAAAAGTGAAGTCAGTTTTAATTATATCATAAAGTTGTCTTAAGGGGCTTTACAGTCTGTACAACCTATGACAGCCTCTATGAACCCCCCACCAAAAAAAACTCCCCCTAAAACCCTTTAATAATAAAAGAAATTGAAAGAATAATACGCCCTTTTTTGATCTATTCCTCCATTACTATTTCTAATTCTTCAACTAACTCAGTCCATTTCTCCCCTTTTCTCTCTCTTGTATCTGATGTGCATTCCTTCCTCCCTGTCTTCTTTATTTAAGATGTCAGACACCAACTCCTCCTCAACAAATACTAATACTGATGAGTACAACACAGTCCTCCTTTCCATCTACTCTGTGGTTCTGTTCAGCGGGACCATCAGCCTCAGCCTGATAATGCGCATCATGAAGTCCAGCTCAACATCCATCACTTCTATCGCTGTACTCAACCTCATCTTCACCCACTTCATCTTCCTTCTCACAGTGCCCTTCAGGATTTACTATTATGCGACAAGTAACTGGAACCTGGGCTTCGGGTGGTGTAAAGTGGTCAGCAGCATGATCCACATCCACATGTACATGTCTTTTATCTTCTATGTTATCATCCTCATCACACGCCTGATGATGTTCTACCACAAACCTGAGCAGGAGGCCTCCTTCCAGAGGATTCATGCATTCCTTATCAGTGCTGTGGTGTGGATGGTGGTGCTTGTTGTGTTCCCTTGCATTATCATTTTGTCCTACGGCAAAAACATTGAAAACTCGGGCACAAACAATAGCACGAACAATAACAAATGCTTCCACTTTGGCAAAAACATAAAAAACCAGTCTATTGCCATAGTGTTCAATTACATCATAAGCACAGTGATCATAGTGGTGGCCATCGTGCTGACAGCCCTCCAAGCCAATGTCCTGAGGGTTTTATACAGGAAGCATCATCAGGGATGCACCTCTCAGCAAGACTTCGGGGCTCAGCTGAAGAGTCTTTGCTTTGCCCTCATCATGGTGATCTGCTTCATTCCCTACCACTTGTTCCGGCTGCATTACTTAGAACACGTAGAAGACCTGCAGAGTGCCAATGAAGTATTCCTGAGTTTGACCACTTTTAACTGTTTGGACATGCTCACGTTCTTGGGGAGGAGAACTTGTTACATGTGCTTCCCCAGAAAGCCTATTTGAAAACTGTTAATATGATGTGTGTGAGGGGGTCAAGAGATTTAATTTGCTTCATTTTGTAACTTCATTTTACTGTTCTTCATTGCCTTGTCGAAGTTTTTAATAAGAAAATTGCTTATGTGCATCTCCACAAAAATGGACAATAGAATGTAACAAATATTCAAAAGCACATATTAGCAATTATTAAAATCAATTTGACTAAATTAAGAAAACATAAAAACACACAAAAAAAGGATTGTTGAAACATATACGTCGCAGGAGCTACAATACAATTTAAAAAGAAAGAGTGTGATGGGTCAGCCATAATTTTCTGTGCCTGGTGTTTGATGCATGTAGGGAGGATAAGGAATGAAGGCACCAGTTATCTATCAAAGATGCTATACGAACAACCATGTCATACTTTCTCCTCTCATGCACAGTATAGTTGCATTAGCATCAACTGTGTAGATGTGAATGTTTGCTTCTACAGTCACACAGAATGTTTTCGACTTGGACGCAAAAAAATTAAGCATCAAATGTTTTTTAGATGGTGGCTGTAGTGGTGGTGTTGGGCAGATGTACTATGCTTGGCTTAGTTATTTGTACCTCTGTTGCGTCATCTCCATTTTTTTTTTTATGTGAACGTGTTACTTTTAAGAACTGAACCTTGGATGTTAGAGTTATGTGGTATGTGTCTTAACAAGCAGACTACTGATGCACCCCTTAAACTGTGTTGCTACTGATCAAACTACTAAAAGAATCTGACAGGAGTGGAAACTGTCCTTTGCTTTTGACTGAAAATGAATGAACTCTTGCCACCTGCTGGTCTTTGTATAGACTACAGGCTTAAAGCTTAAAATTTGTAAAGCTAGATTATGCCATTGATTGTTAGGTTCTCTCATTTTGCATGTGACTTCATGTGAATGACATGTGAGTGTAAATGAAAAAATCTACATATTTCACTATATTTGCTAACACTTAAACCCTGTGTACATAGCTGTAGTGTTCAGACTAACAAGAGAAATAAATGTCTAAAATCGTTACTTTTTCACCATTATTTTGTGAAACATTACCTCAAACCTCCTGGATCTCTTACCTTCTGCCCTCAGAGGTGATGTTAGAGGCCCTGGCTGACATACACACTTGCACACAAACACACACACCTGGTGATCCTTTTCCTTTTGGTTTTTATGGCGCTTGGGTTACTGTTTAACATCCCCACCCTACTTTAAGTTTGTTTAGTAAATCGATCTAATGACAGGGCTATGGTGGCGCCATCCAATGTGTCGCTCCATGAATTATAGGCTGCTCAGCTCTCCAACCTTCCCTTTTTATGTTGTCGAACACCTTTAGCATTTTCCCATTCTTAGTGTCACTTAGACTAATGTTGCACTGAGCTGGCTGCTCACTACCGGAGTACAACAGTGCACCTGGATAAATGCACATCCTAGACGGAAACAGAAACACAGGTAAGTCCAACTCCTGTGAAGTATATTGTCACTGAAATGCAAACTATCCACATTGCCAGTAAGAATTATAATGTATGCTTTTGTGGAGGTAGTAAAGCTTACCTTTAGCAGTTTCTCAAGGAAGTGTGATAACATGTTCTGCTAAATCACGTGATTTTGTATTTTTGTGGTAATATGGCAGCAATCCTCATTTACACACACTTCAATTGCTGCTGTATGTCCTGTTACCAAAGCTGCTGTACTTTTTAATTGTAGAATATACATATGCAGTATGTGGCTGTCCAAGCCTGCTAGAATATCTGTTTCATTTTGTCCAGTATATTTAATGACAGTGTTCTCACTTCTCTGTCTGCAGACAGCGTTTTATCAAAGCAGATAAGATAGACCCACTTTGTCACGCATGCTGTGCAGTAAAGATCATGTGATAACCTGTTTCGTCTGTACAAGTACGTAATCTCTAGCAAGAGCATATTGCAAAGCCGGAAGATGGTAATACAGTCACATTGTGTTTTTCTCCTCTTAAAGTGATTGTATTTAGCTGCAGTTGGAAACTGACATCCCCCAGGCATCTATTTTTTTTGACAAAAACTCAAGCCAAACCATTAGATATGCACAACGTGGACACAATGATAAGTAAACCTACTTCTGTAAAGGTTGCAATGAAGAGTTGTCAGATTAGTTAATTGATTTTTGAGGCTGCTGTGTGTGTTGTTGTATTGGACTGCCCTAAATTCTGCAGGTGTTTGGGTACAGCCTGTATAAACTGAATATTATTGACCAAACTAGCCTTCAGACTTTTCACTTGGTGGTGATATTAACAGGAAGAACAGAAGAGTGTGACACTCATTTAACACCCTCAGGGACCTTGGGTTCACAAGAAAAATGTTGTGACATTTTGTGAAATGAACAAACGTGTTGCTGAAGTGTTGTTGACTAGTTACATTATCACAAATCCAGTATCATAGCATAACATGGCAATGAATAAAAAGCAAATATGCAGTTAAAGCCGATCCTTCAGAAGAGTTTTAAGAGTGAATAATATTTAACTGAACCTTTTTTTTTGTTTTTTTTAGTTTTTATTATTTCCCAGGTATCAGGAAGTAGTGGTTTACTAGAGTCAGTTGGCTGGCTGATCATCGTCTGTGACTATTAAAACCTCTAAGCTAAACAGAGGCGACAGTATTATGGCCAGTTCACACAGAGATAGCCTCTTTGCACTGGGTTTTATGGCATCAAAGAGCATTTGGTTGCTGGGTGGATGCAAGGTTTCTGAGTTACGTCCTGCTTGGTTTTCAGCTGAAGAAGTCATAATGGCTTTTATTACTTTAAGTATTTCTATGAATGTGTAAATCATATGTTTTTATGTATTTATTAACGATTAAAGCATCATTACACTAATAAACACTTGAATTCCTAGGCTTGTTGTCCTTGCACTTAACAGTCAAGGGTGAGGGTAAAGAGAGCCTTGAATAAAATAATATTCTGGATTTTATTTTATCTGTATGTAAAGTGCAACGAGTCTTGCTTTCTGTGTGTATGCTTAAGCTATTTATACCACACGATAGCCTCTTGGATATCTACCCACTTATTTGCAGTATATTTGCAGAATGTAAGAATAGGAGGAGTAAAGTGTACACTCATTCAGTCAGTCCTTTTGAGTGTTTGGTGATTGTGAATGTGAGAATGTGATTGTAAAGAGTAAATTCTTCCTCACTCTCCACAAACCTGATGAGTCAGGAGGCCTGACCTCACCCCCTGGTTAAAATGTAATCTCTCTCTCTCTCTCTCTCTCTCTCTCTCTCTCTCCCAGAGACAGGAGTCTCTGTCTCTCAATCCCTGCATTTCAGCCATTAATTAATATGTCTGTTATTACCCTGTGACTGGATACTAATTGCTCCTTCTCTTCATGCCCAATAAACAATCTGTGATAATGTGCATTCTGATGTACTGTGCCTATAGTGACAATGTATTACAACTTTAGTGGCTCATATGTACTGTAGGTGCTTTTCTGACTGGCCCTCTCATAGGGCATCAAATCTCCCATAATACAGCCTCTTATCATTTACAGCCTTGCCTAACACAATGCCCCACACTGATTACCTTTAAGCTACACAATAAGATTTAGTGCAATGAAATCCCCAATGAGAAATAAGTGGGTTGGGACATTATAACTGGTTTATGGTAGTTAATCAGAGTGTGTTTACCACATTCCTGTCCTGAAAGAGGAGACAACTTGCTGACATTTTTTTATTTTCACTTTTGATGTCCCCTGCCTCTCCTAACATGCATTTCTCGAGGGAATTTGCATTGTGTTTTTCTCCTCTGATGCACTACAATAAGAGAGCTAAGTGTGCTAAGTGTGAGAACTGTAAAATTGTGTTAATGCTGCTACTCAGGCAGTTTCCTGTTCTCCATACCGGCTCATCAGGATGTGTCAAGTGTATCACCCTGTCAGATCTCGGTTCTAAAATTAAACCCACAACAAATGATTTCAGAATCGCGCCCTGGGCAATTTAAATATTCCATTAATAAACCAAAAATACAAGTAAAAACAGTGAAGTTTCAACGGCAGTGGGGTCAGTGAGATTAATGGTTACTTTGAGATATTTACAGTAGTACTGTATATGGTCAGTTAATTTATAAATGCGTAGAATAAGTTTATCAACAGAGGGTTGGATGTAAACTTAAGGAGTGTGTATGTAGAAGAGTTAACAGAAGTTATCTGTATTTTCCACTTCACTTTGTGTCTTTATAGATTATATCTGCTGAGGTGGTTGTGCTTTTACTCCACTATTGATTAGATAAGGAAGCCTGGGAAGGACATACACACACACACACACATTCATAAATGTATGTGTCTGTAAGAAAAAAACAAACCTTCTTGTTCATGCAGATACACACATAGAAGCTCACCAGCATGCACATAAAGTGCAAGTTGTCCTCGAAAATCTAAGGGAAATCTGTCTCTTAGTTAAAAAGAAGAGGTAGGGGAAAAAAGAGGCAGAGGGGGAGAAGGGAAATATCTCCTTCACCACTATCTATCCATCCCTGTGATAAGTGCGAAGGAGAAGGACAGATAAGTAATGTGCAATAAGGTGAGAAGTTTTACCACAGCTCCTCCCCTCTCCTTGTTCCTGGCCCAGTCAGATGAGATTATAAATCTTTTATGCCAGGGATCTCCCTTGTCATGTCTGTAAGAATTAGATGAAGTAGAGACTGGCAGATAGGGAAAAACAGAAAGAGTAAACTGGGAGAAGAGAACAAGGTGTGAGGAAGGCCGAGTTGAAACGGGAATGAAGTGTCCTCCTGCTCCTCAGAGTAAGTCTCTGTTAGACATGGAAGTAGCCAACTATTGTGAAGGCCTGGATCCCTCATACAGCACATTGGGCTTTGAGAATGCAGAGGTACTCTATGGAGGAGGAGGTAAGTGCGTGTGGATGTAGCCACTTACACACACATGCAAACACAAACAGAAAAACCCATGTATAAACATATGCAAATATTAATTGAAGCACAAAACATCGTTTTTTTAGCATGCAAGACAAGATAAAACAGATACATATACACACTCCATCTCTTTACAAGCACTAATGGATACATGGACTGATAAGCAGCCCACTCACACCTTTCAAAAAAAATAGTGGAAACATGCACAATGGCTTAATATGAACAGAGAAATGAGAGCAGTCTTGTATTGTGTATCTGATAAATCTGTAGCCTCTTGAGTAACATGATCTGTATCTGTTAAGATTGGTTTGCAATAGGTCATATACCACAGAACTTGGGGGAGGTGTGTGTTAGTCTGTAAGGCTAGAAATATACTGATGAAGTGAAGTGAGACTAGCTGTAGGCAAATGAGTTGCTATTTGCAGAAGAGGAAATTGGGTTACTTTATACATAGCATGCACTGTATGCGTAAATGAAGTGCTGGGGAAACTCATGACATTTTAATGTTGGCCAATGGTGCATGTATCCACTTGTCTGTAAACACTGATTGTGGGGAAATGAGTGCTACTTGCCTGTTGCTTGCATATCGATATGTATGTGGAAATCTGTGGATGTGAAGGAAAGAAAAGGGCTGGGTCGGGGTTGTAAAAGCATGAAATCAGAATGTTAATAAAACTGTTTAGGCAGGAATTGCAGTTAAGTGTCATAAAGACTTTTTTTATTGAAGAGCAAGCACGCAGCTCAGTGATACACTGATGTCACCTCAGCATGTGGAAAGAAAGTTAGTCGAACACTGACTCATCTCGCCTTGCTTGGTGTGGGACTGAAAGAGAGGGGGCTTTGACTGAACAATAAATATGAATATGCATATGATGATGATGATGATGATGATGATGATGATGATTGTGGTTTTGATCAACGATGCTGCTGCTGCTGCTGCTGCTGCTGATTATGATATCATTTTGATGACAAAGAGGAGATAAAAATAAAGATTTCAGCAGTAATGTTTAAATAACTAGCGGTTGAACTGCCATGTATTCTTTTGCCTTATTTATGTTTTGACTTTGCGGTTATACAAACCCCAATAAACTCTGTTTACATAG